TAAATAACAAAAATTTTCAATAAATATTTTTTGGCTTATATTTTTATGAATATATGAATATATCATATTGAATAAATGCCTATGCTTCACTTAACATTTCACATTATGTATGCCAACTTTTTGTTTAGTGTAGCTACAGTGAATATATTTGAATTAAAAAACAACTATAACTTGGTAAATATTTTTTATATAGCTCAAATAAAAGTTTTTATATAAACAGCATTAGCTTTTTACTCAGTTTATGACACTTGAATTTAGTAAATTAACAATGACTGCCTAATTTTGTAAAGTGTAAGTACAGCTGACGCACACATTGGCTAAGTACAGCTGACGCCCAAGTTGAAAAACCCGCGTCAAGGTCCGCCACAGACGCCGTCTTGAAAACGCTTTCGCTTTTTGTTGGCGTCGTCGTCGTCGTCGTCGTTGACTTAGTTGGTTTGGCTGCCCTTAAATGGTGAGGTCCATGTAACAAATGTCGTGTATCAGCCTATAGTCGCCACCTAGCTAGGTAGCGTGCAGGCCCGCCTCTTTACAGCTCTCACTTGCCCCACCTCTCATTCGGCCTCTCTCCACTCTCATTCTATATATATATATATATATATATTACTTATGCATATGGATTGCAATTGGCTGCAGGGCGCGTGTCTTGCATAATGGCCAACGATTAATGCGTCCCGAGCTCGAATCCCCCTCAGAACAGCAGCAGCAGCAAACGAGGCAACAATAAGGCAACCCATTTTGTATGGCTGTGACTGTGGCTGTGACTGTGGCTGTGCCTGTGTCTGGTTAGTTAGTTAGTGATTCATGACTGAGTCGAGTCGCCTCCCGAGCGGGTCTCACACTCGCACTTCCTTGGCCAGCGACCGGATATGCATTTGCCAGTTGAGAGTTGGCATTTTGCATTTTGTATGCTGCTTTATGGTGCTGTTTGGCAATCGTGGAACAGGCGTAATGACAATGATAATGCTGATGATTATTATGCATTGCCTCAGACTGATTAAAAGTGGCTAGCAGAAGGGCATGGCACCACGACACGGGCATATAACAATTATTAACAGCAACTGGCGACG